GTCGAGCCTGTACACCCTTACTACTGAGTCTCCTCCGGCTGCTGAGTCTGGCCAGGTAGCTGCGTCGAGTCAGGTGTTTGCTGCAGCGTCCAGGTCTGGTCCTGAGTCTGCTCCCTGCTCGTGTCGTCTACTGTCCCACCAGACTCTCCTCAGGCACCACCGCCTTGGTCACCCCTCCCTGCCTCGTCTCCGAGGCATGGCCTCATGTGTCCTTGTCTCTGGTCTCCCTCGGTCTCTCCCTCCCCTTCCTCTGGGGCCTGGCCCTACCTGCGTCCCCTGCGTCGAGGGGCGACAGCGCACCGCCCCTCACTCCTCCGAGTTTCCTCTGAAAGAGGCTCCGCTACAGACCCTCCACATGGACGTGTGGGGCCCCGCCCGCGTCCGTGGGCAGGGGCACGAGCGGTACTTCTTGCTGGTGGTTGAGGACTACTCGCGTTACACCACAGTCTCCCCCTTGCGCAACAAGGGTGACGTCACTGAGGTGTTGATCGACTGGATCTGCGCAACTCGTCTCCAGCTCAGAGAGAGTTTCGGCTTTGACTTTCCTGTTCTGCGTCCGCACTCTGACAGAGGCGGGAAGTTTTCATCTGCCCGTCTGGGAGCCTTCTGTTGTGCACAGGGCATCCGCCACACCTTCACGCTTCCGGCCTCTCCACAGCAAAATGGGATTGCTGAGCGCCGCATTGGCATGGTCATGGACGTCGCTCGTACGTCCATGATGCATGCGGCTGCCCCCCATTTTCTGTGGCTGTTTGTGGTTAAGTACACCGTGCATTAGCTCAACCTTCAGCCTCGGGTCTCCTTGCCAGAGACCTCCCCCGCCTTGCGGTGGACCGGGAAGGTTGGCGATGCGTCTGCGTTTCGGGTCTGGGGATCTCGGGCGTTTGTCCGCGACTTGTCTGTGGACAAGCTGTCCCCCCGTGCTGTTCCCTGCGTCTTCCTTGGCTTCCCCCCTGACGCGCCTGGGTGGCAGTTTTACCACCCCACCTCGCGCCGTGTTCTGTCCTCCCAGGACGTCACCTTTGACGAGTCGGTGCCTTACTACCGTCTCTTCCCCTACCGCACTGTGCCCCTCCCCCCGTCGCCGCTCTTCCTTGCGCCAGGTCCTCCCCCGGTAGACCCCCTCCCCCCTCAGGGTCCTGCCCCGTCAGGTGTGTCCCAAGTAGACGCTGTCGAGCCTGTCGAGGTAGCTGTCGACTCTGGTGCTGCTAGAGGTGCTGAGCCTGCGAGTGCCGGGTCTGGGGGTGCTGAGACTAGGGGTGCTGAGACTGGGGATGCTGAGTCTGGGGGTGCTGATACTGGGGGTGTTGAGTTTAAGGGTGCTGAGCCTGGGGGTGCTGGGTCTGGGGGTGCGGAGCCTGGGGGTGCGGAGCCTGGGGGCGCTGGGTCTACTCGTGTGTCAGCCGGCGGTGCTTCGTCGAGGCGGGAGACACTCTCTCCACAGGAGCTGAGCGAGTGGTTTGCCCGCTGCTGGAGACGTGCTGCTGGAGATGGAGGTGCTACTGTTGCTGCAAGTCCCAGAGGTGCTCGTACTGGCGTTCCTGGAGCTGCTGGGACTGGGGGTACTGCTGGGGCTACTGGACTTGGTCCTGCTAGAGCTGCTGGCGGTGCTGGTGCTGTTGGAGCTGAAGCTGCTGGGGGTGTTGGCGCTGGTGTTTCTACTGGCGCTGGTGCGTTTGGGGGTGCTGCTGAGGCTGCTGGAGCTAGAGCTGCTGAAGGTGGAGCTGCTGGGGGTGTTGGCGCTGACGGTACTGCTGGCGCTAGTGCTTCCAACGGTGCTGGATTTGGCGCTGTTGGAGCTAGAGGTGCTGCTGGCGCTGGTGCTGCCGCTGAGGGTACTGGTGCTGTCCTTGCTGGTGCTGGAGGCGCTGCGCGGCCGAGACCGTACTTCGTTCCGCTCCTGGAGCAGGTTCTTGGTCCCTCGCCCTCTACTGGTCCTGCTCTTCCCTTAGAGTGTCCACAGTCTGTCCAGTCCCAGTCACAGTTACAGCGCGCCTCCCCTCTACCTGCTCCTTCTCCCTACACTGGTCCTACTGGAGGTCTTGCTGAGCGTCGTGAGCCTCTGTCTCGTCCTGCGTTGCCTGTTCGTGCTGCTCGCACTAGTGGTCGTACTACGTGTCCGCGTCCTCCTGCGGTCCTCGGCACACACCAGATGGCGGTGCGTCCTTCCACTGCTCCTCTGCGTGTCCCGTTACGGTCTCCTCCAGAGTCCTCTCTTCCTACTCTTGCTGACCCGGAGTCTGACTCTCTTCGTGCTGCTAGTCATTCTGTCACGCGTCTCCTGGCTACTATGGTCACTGACCCTTCCTTTGAGCCCACTGCTGCATCTGCCCTAGTTGCTGAGCTTGTCGACTTCGCTGCTCGTTGTCGTCTAGACTACGCTGCTAGTTTCGTTGCTGAGTCTGAGTCTATCTGTCCTCTATCCATCGCGGGTGAGTGTGCTCTTAGCACGGACGTCCTTGAGGACAGGCAGGAGGTGTTCCAGTGCTTTACTGCTGCTTTGCCCCATCTTGTGTCCACGCTAATTGCCCCTGATGGAGACCCGGATGCACCAGACATCCCGACTCCTCGATCGTACGCTGAGGCGATCGAGGGTCCCTACTCCTCTCAGTGGCAGTCGGCCATGGACGCAAAGATGGCTTATTGGAAGTCCACAGGCACCTACGTTGACGAGGTTCCCCCACCTAGGGCGAACATTGTCTGTGGCATGTGGATCTTCAGGGTGAAGCGGCCGCCGGGTTCTCCGCCTGTCTTTAAGGTGCGTTACGTGGCTCGAGGCTTCAGTCAGCAACAGGAAGTTGACTACTTTTAGACCTTCTCTCCCACCTCGAAGATAACCACTCTTCGGGTGCTACTACACATAGCCGCTCAGCTCGACTACGAGCTTCACTCTCTTGACTTCAGCACAGCTTTCCTGCAGGGCAGCCTGCACGAGGAGATCTGGCTGCGTCGCCCACCTCGCTTCACTGGGTCGTTTCCTCCTGGTACCCAGTTGAGCCTCCGGCGGCCAGTCTACGGTCTCCGCCAGGCGCCCCGTGAGTGGCACGACACACTGAGGACTACACTTGCGGCTCTTGGGTTTGCTCCTTCTACAGCCGACCCGTCGCTGTTTCTGCGCACCGACACCTCTTTGCCGCCGTTCTACATCCTCGTGTACGTCGACGACTTGGTCTTTGCCACTGCTGACACTGCTGGACTCGCCCACGTGAAGTCCGAGCTGCAAAAGAGATACACGTGCACAGACCTGGGTGAAATGCGCAGCTACCTTGGCTTGCAGATCACCCGGGATAGAGCATAGCGCACCATTACCCTGACTCAGTCACACATGGTGCAACAGGTCCTTCAGCGCTTCGGCTTCACGTACTCCTCGCCTCAGGCCACTCCTCTGTCTACTCGCCACTCGCTCTCAGCTCTGCCTTCGGATGAGTCCGTAGAGCCAAGTGGCCCGTATCCAGAGCTTGTTGGCTGCCTCATGTACCTGATAACGTGCACACGACCTGGCCTTGCATACCCTCTTAGCATCTTGGCCCGCTATGTTGCTCTTGGGAGACAGCGACCAGAGCACATGGCTACAGCAAAGAGGGTGTTACGCTACGTGTGCAGTACGTCGGGCATGGGGCTAGTGCTTGGAGGGCGATGTCGAGTGGTCCTCACAGGTCACGCAGACGCTTCTTGGGCTGACGACCAGGCTCTGCAGCGGTCGTCACAGGGTTACACCTTCAGCCTTGTCTACGGCTCTGTTTCGTGGCAGTCTACCCGCTCGTCTTCTGTTCTCAGCTCCAGGTGTGAGGCTGAGATCTACGCAGGGGCCATGGCTGCACAGGAGCTACGCTAGCTCACCTACTTGCTGACTGACCTAGGAGAGCCGCCTCGTTCTCCTTCAGTTCTGTACGTGGACAAGAAGGCCATGCTGGCCTTGTGTCGGGAGCACAGACCGGAGCACAGAACGAAGCACATTGCTCTCCGCTACTTCCTGGCTCGTGAGCTGTAGTAGCGTGGTCAGCTCCGCCTCACCTACGTGGCCTCTGTGGCCAACACTGCTGATATCTTCACTAAGGCCCTTCCGCCTTGTGATCATCAGCGCTTCTGTACTATGCTAGGTCTTGTGCCTACCTGGCCTCACTTGCTCACTTCTTGACCTTGTTTGTACTGTCCTCTTTCTATACTTGCACTTGCTTGTTTACCTTTATATATATGATCTTGCATGTCAACTGGCCTTGTGGCCTTGCTCTTGTGCTCGGACTGTGTGGTGACGTTGTGATCCACCCTGAGCTTGCTTTGCTTTGCTTGACTGGTCTTGTGACCCCTTGTTCTCCCCCACTTTGCCTATGGGGGTGTGTCAGGCATATATGCTTTAGTCTGTGTAGGCTGAAGTGGGGCAGTTCATGTCAGAATATATTTGCTGTCTAGCCTGCAGTGGGGTACTCTGTAATGAGTACAACCCAATTTAGGGCAATGTACTTGTATCCCAACTCTTGCTAGTCACTTCACTTCCCTTCCAATTTCTCGACTCTCACCTAACCCACTCGAACTTACCTATCTCCTAGTGTGGGCCTAGGCTACTAAGCCTAGGCCCCACACCTAATATTTTCACATGTTATCAGAGCCCGTTCTACCTTGGCCTGTGGGCCCCTATGCTTCCGCTGCAGTCCTTGGCGAATTTTTTTTTAGGATTTCGGACTTTTTCATCCCGCCGTGCGCTCGGGGCGCGCGGCGGTTTTCCCGTCCTTCGAAGCGCCCTCGGGGGGCCTGCGCGCTGCCCTCCCCGCTGCTCGTCGCGACGCCCGTGCGGGACCCGCGCGGCGTCACCCTGCTCGTCGCGACGTCGGTGCGGGACCCGCGGGGCGTCGCCCCTGCTCGTCGCGACGTCCGTGCGGGACCCGCGCGGCGCCGCCCTACTTGTCGCGACGTCCGTGCGGGACCCGCGGGGCGTCGCCCCTGCTCGTCGCGACGTCCGTGCGGGACCCGCGGGGCGTCGCCCCTGCTCGTCGCGACGCCCCATGCGGGACCCGCGGGGCGCCGTCAGTTCCTGCAGCAGCAGCCGCCGCCGCCCTGCAGCAGCAGCCGCCGCCAGAGCCTGCTGCAGCAGCCGCCGCCAGGGTCTTCAGCAGCAGCCGCCGCCAGGGTCTGCAGCAGCAGCCGCCGCCAGAGCCTGCAGCAGCAGCCGCCGCCAGAGCCTGCAGCAGCAGCCGCCGCCAGAGTCTACAGCAGCAGCCGCCGCCAGAGTCTGCAGCAGCAGCCGCCGCCAGACCTGCAGCAGCTGCCGCCACCGACCCAGCAGCAGCAGCCGCCGCTCTATCAGCAGCAGCAGCCGCCGCCGCTCTGCCGCAGCAGCTACCGCCGCCCAGCTGCAGGTGCCGCCCCTGGACCCCAGAAGCCGCCCCTGGACCCGGTACGCCTTGTGCTGCCCGTGCTTGTGCTGCCTGTGCCTGTTGCTGCCCGTGCCTGTTGCTGCCCGTGCGTGTGCTGCCCGTGCCTGTGCTGCCCGTGCCTGTGCTGCCCGTGCCTGTGCTGCCCGTGCCTGTGCTGCCCGTGCCTGTTGCTGCCCGTGCCTGTGCTGCCCGTGCCTGTTGCTGCCCGTGCCTGTGCTGCCCGTGCCTGTGCTGCCCGTGCCTGTGCTGCCCGTGCCTGTGCTGCCCGTGCCTGTGCTGCCCGTGCCTGTTGCTGCCCGTGCCTGTGCTGCCCGTGCCTGTGCTGCCCGTGCCTGTGCTGCCCGTGCCTGTTGCTGCCCGTGCCTGTGCTGCCCGTGCCTGTGCTGCCCGTGCCTGTGCTGCCCGTGCCTGTGCTGCCTGTGCCTGTTGCTGCCCGTGCCTGTGCTGCCCGTGCCTGTGCTGCCCGTGCCTGTGCTGCCCGTGCCTGTTGCTGCCCGTGCCTGTGCTGCCCGTGCCTGTGCTGCCCGTGCCTGTGCTGCCCGTGCCTGTTGCTGCCCGTGCCTGTGCTGCCCGTGTCTGTGCTGCCCGTGCCTGTGCTGCCCGTGCCTGTGCTGCCTGTGCCTGTTGCTGCTCGTGCCTGTGCTGCCCGTGCCTGTGCTGCCCGTGCCTGTTGCTGCCCGTGCCTGTGCTGCCCGTGCCTGTTGCTGCCCGTGCCTGTGCTGCCCGTGCCTGTGCTGCCCGTGCCTGTGCTGCCCGTGCCCGTGCTGCCCGTGTCTGTTGCTGCCCGTGCCTGTGCTGTCCGTGCCTGTGCTGCCCGTGCCTGTGCTGCCCGTGCCTGTGCTGCCTGTGCCTGTTGCTGCCCGTGCCTCTGCTGCCCGTGCCTGTGCTGCCCGTGCCTGTGCTGCCCGTGCCTGTTGCTGCCCGTGTCTCGTGCTCGCGCCCCCGTGCGCTCTGCTACTGTCTGCGCCCTCGTGCGCACTGTCCCCCCCCCCCCCCCCCCCCCCCCCGTTTGCGGGTGTGGGGGTGCTCCGTTTGTGTCGCCCCTTCCTTCTCCTCCTCCGTCGTCTCCCACTGCTGCAGCTGTCGCTGAGGGGGGTGGTTGTGTGGGAGACTGGGGTTTAGGGTTTAAGGGGGGTGCGTGGGAGTGGAGCTAGGGGTGTAGCAGCGGGTGTGTGTCAGGGGGGTGGGACTGTTTGTGGGAGGTTGAGCGGAGGCTGCCGTCTTGTAGTCCGCAGCACCTGTAGTCCGGGGCGCTGTCCTGGTAGCCCAGTGAGCCTGCTGCGCCTGTCGCCCGTGGGTCCGTTGCTCCTGCCGCTCTTCGTAGCCGCCGAGCCAGTTACTCCAGTAGTCCGGGGCGCTGTCCCGGTAGCCACTGTGCCAGCCGCTCCTGTTGCCCGTGTGTCTGCAGCTTCAGCAGTCGCCTCCCATCTCCTCTCCTCTCACTCTCCCTCCTCCTCCTCACCTGCCCGTTGTGACCACCACTAGCTTTGCTGATAATTGTGCACTTTAACTATTGCTTCTTGAACTTGTGCTCAGAATGTGTGGTGACATTGTGATCCACCCTGAGCTTGTACTGCTTTGCCTGCTCTGCTGATTTCACCCCACTTTGGCTATGGGGGTGTGTCAGAATATATTTGCTGTCTAGCCTGCAGTGGGGTACTCTGTAATGAGTACAACCCAATTTAGGGCAATGTACTTGTATCCCAACTCTTGCTAGTCACTTCACTTCCCTTCCAATTTCTCGACTCTCACCTAACCCACTCGAACTTACCTATCTCCTAGTATGGGCCTAGGCTACTAAGCCTAGGCCCCACACCTAATATTTTCACAGTTCATATGGGGTACAACACTTTAGGGTTTGCCACTTGTACTCTCCTTTCTGCTCAATGCACTCATTCTCTCGTTCGAAACTTCACATCTCAGTTGTACCATTCTAATCGAGGCGAAATTTTATAGCGCCAGAAATCAGAATCGCGCGCTACCGAATTTTTTCCAACACACAGGGCTTAAAGAGACGTCAGTTTACCCCTGTGCCAGCACATCTTGACCTGACGCGCAGCTTCCGAGGTCTTCAAGAGATAAACGAAGTGATTATGAAATTAGGCTCGCTTCAAAATTGAAACTCGTTGCTGTGTTTAGCAGGTTTTAAATTTCAAATTATGCATGCACTTATAATAAGAAAGGGTTTTATAGGGGGTGCGCTTATACTTGAGGATCGGGCGTAAGCGCATTGCTCCAGATATAGGCGCATGTGTTTTTAATAGGCCTGCGCTTATATCCGGGGCGATACGATGTATAAAACGCGGGGTTTCATTGCGGAGACTGGATAGATCTGTTAAATATGAGGTTCACAGGATTGTCAAGGAGCTTGGTATGCCTTCCCAACTTGAGGACAGCCACCTCCTTTCTGGTCGTCGTCCCGACATCAGCTGCAGGGATACGAGTTCTGGGGTGAGTTGGGCTCTGGATGTCTCGGTGGCAGACCCGCAGCATGGTTTCCCTCACTCTAATGCTGCTACTATCATTGGTCTTCAGGGGCTTTTTTATCAGAGTAAATTACTCTGTTTCTGTGAAAATGAGAGTGGTTTTTAGGGGGTCACTCTGACGTGTCTGGGTAATTTTTTTGAAGGATAAGTTTTCTCTGATTTGTCAGGGTTCTTATTTTAGCTTCTCTGAGAGACCAGTGTATATTTGTGGCGGGTGTACTTTTCTCTGTACAGGGTATAGGCATTTCGACCGACCCCCCCCCCCGCCCCCCCCTCCCCCCCAATTGTTGGAAGATGGGCAGACTTAGTGGACAGAAAAAAATCCGTAATCGAGCGGAATGGTTAGCCGTATCACAACGCTTAAAATGTTTTGTAGGAGTGCAGAAGGCCTGGGTTCAATACTTGAGAGGACACTCAGAGTTGGAAAAATAGGTACACTGGGTGCCCAGAGTATATTTTTCATAAGTTAAGTTTTCTCTGACAAATCAGAGTAACGCTCATAATGAACCCTGAATTTCAGAGTTCTCTAGAAAACAGCTCTGGAAATCCGAGTAGTGAAAATCCAAAAAAAAAAAAAAAAAAAAAAAAAAAAGCCCTGTTGGTCTTGTTGCTGGTGCTCGGGAGTTGGAAAAGAACTCGCTTTATGCCGCCTCGTTGCGTGATCGTCATGATGTCAAGTTCTTCCCCTTGGCTATCGAGACTTTCGGTTGCTTCGGAAAGACTGCGGCCGGCGTGGTACAACCCGTATCCGTGACTGGAGTGGTACGACGGACCTGGTGCCCCAACTTCTGGAAACCAATTTCTTCAAGCGCGTCTCCTTCGTTCTTCAGCGCGAGCAAGCTCGAACGATGTGTCGGCGTTCCCAGATTCGTCTTACTGGCGCTCCTGATTTGTTGGCATCCGAAGCCACCCTACCCTCGGTGGCTGACTTTGCCTACTTGGGCCCGGATGGCTGAGTGCCATTAGTTTCCTTACTGTAGATGTTTGCTTATGATGCCTCTAGAAATTTGTGAATGTACCTTTTGTACATATACCTGATTGTAGATAAAGAGGATAGATCTCCCCCCGATCTAGCACTTTTACAGCGTCCTTACCTACCCTCCCACTATGGCTGCCAAATAACGCCATGTGGTGAGTAACAGGGCTAATTTTATCAGTGTAAATCACCCTGATACCTTGATAATCAGGGTGGTTTGTGGGAGTAACACTGATGGTCCAGGGTAATTTTTCTAAGAGTCAATACTACCCTGATGTGTCAAGGTTTACAATATAGGCACACTGATGACTAAGGGTTTCCGTATTCAATAACAAGTTGTTCCCTGAAGCGAGTTCCATACCCTCCCCCCCCCCCCCCCCCCCCCCCCCGCCCCCCCAGTTCCCCCACCCCCCCTTTTTCCAGTAACATAGGATTCCCGAATCCCGATGGCCAACTGGCGAAACCGTAATTTCGGTCTTGACAATGCATGTGCTGGCTCAAAGTGGGCCACCATAGGCCAGACTTACAGTTTCTCCAGGGTTTGTCTTTTAAGAACACTGATGCGACCCAAATTTTTGAAAACCGACATAAACCCTGATGTAACAGGGTTTTCAGAAGGGGTCACACTGATAATCAGGTTTTTGACCTTGTACCACACTGCTCATAAGGGTAGTCAAAATCCAAAAATTAGCCCTGGTGAGTACCTGTATGATTCCTTAAAGCCCAGCCCCCGAATTGCAAAAAAAGCCTTCACAAACTGGCCTCATTTGCGTCTCGTCCCTTCCAGGCAAAAAGGGTTTCAGGAGTTCAGAACCTCCAACTGCCTGCCTTTCCGAAGCTGTTTTTTCCGCGTTGACTCCGTTGAGCAATTGTGAAGTTGGTAACACACAAATTTCTGATTAGTCAAATACCAACACTATTGAATTTCTTGCTGTGCCCGTTTTGGCGGGGAAACCCGCCCAAACGGCTCCTCATTCGTTCCCATTTTCTAGAAAACCACGTCCGAGACGCACTTTGATGAGGTGAGCTGACTTCTGCTCTGCCAAGAGGAAGCACGTCCACCGTCGTGAACCGAATTCTCCCTATTTTGGATCTTTCTCCCAGAGAAAATTCCTCATCCGCTCACATAATCCAAGCCGTCGATCACAGATATCAGGCTGCGCCGTCACCATACTGATGGTGGTCATCTGCTCCCTAAGCTGATGCTCAGAACTTTTGAAGACTGCCCCCACGCGTCAGTCTCCATGTGCGTTGGGATCACATGTTCCTCCGAGAAGAGTTTTTCACCCAACCGCTTCCACCGAGCTCATCCCACCGCCACAACACCTCGATTTTCCAACCACCACCAGTGTTCCACGGTCCACCATTCTTGAAGCTCCCTCCCAAATTTGCCCGAACCCAGCCCTTTCCATATGAGCCACCACCACTTTCCTCCACATCTCGCCCTCGTGCTCTTCCGTGCTCCGCTCCTACTCCCCTCTGCTCACATTCACTCTCCCGTCCCTCTTGCTCGCGTCGCGATACGTTTCAAAAAGCGAGACTGACGGCCTTACCCTCAGTTTTTCGTGGTTAGTATTTCTTTCTCGAAGCGAGCTTCCTTTGCGCGTAGGAACCACTGAGTTACGTACGCTGCTTCAGAAATCCGGATAGCCTTACATCCGGAAATCTGGTGGTCTTTAGCCTCTGACAATTTCGTGCATCAAGTGAACGGACTACTTGTCCTTTTGAAGAACTGCCGTCTCTTTGCTTGGTGCTTTGCAGCCGGGCCCTTAGCAACCCTCAGTAGGATTAGCGACATATTGTTGAGTTCAGCTGCATGTTAACGGCGCGTCCTGAATGAGCACGTTGATGCTACTCATCGGCATGCGCACATTGTAGACCTCTGTTTCCAGTTTTGAGTAACGCAGAAAACCAGCATGAGTCGAATACGCAAACGAAACCCCGTCTTCGGCATGGCGGGATTGGCTGTTGCGTTCCTACTCCTCCTACCGCTCTTGCCGTCTGAAGGTAATAATTTTTTTACCGTTGTCAGTTGCCTTTCTGGTCGGCAAGTACAGTAGTTCTCGTCTTAATGTACACGGCCAGCATACCGAGTCTCAGCTCGTCACTGTGTCGTCAGCTTTTCTTGCTGTAGTTGCTGATGCACGCTACTAGTCCTTTGCCGTGGCTGGACTTATACAGTTTGGGCAAATTCCGTGTCCCAGTAGCACATCTAGGCTCCCAGCTCCTCCGGTATACGTATCGGTGTGTATCTATCCAGTTTCCTCATCCACCGACTTCTCTTCGTTATTCTTTCTTCTTTTGCAGCATTCAATAGTCCCGTTGATGAGGAGGGCGTTCGCGCTCACTTTCATTGGCATCAATATCATCGCCAAGCATCCTGGTTACCATCTAGTGGCGACAGCAGCTCTTCCGCAGATACACGGAGCTCGACGTTTAGCCCGCGCGCTCCGTCCAGTAGTGCTGACTCACTGACTGATTCCGACAGCCTGACTGATTCTTATAACCGAGTTCACTTAGACAAATTGATTGACCATACAATTGGGACTGATTCTGTCAGCCCAACAAAAACGCCAGCTGATTATGATGATGATGACGACGATGATTTCGACGACGACGACGCCTTACTTGCCGCTAATCCAGCCTCCGCCTTTGACGACGATTTCGGTTCCACCTCGTTTCAGTCACGTCTCGCATACTCACAATCAGCAGAGTTCAAGTCCAGACCAGATACGCTCTTTCTAAGTTCGCGGGACGAATACTCATCCTCCTCCTCTTTCTCACCTCGCTCCTCCTTCTCGTCCTCCCGTCCCTCGACTTCCTCCCTCCGTTCCTCCTCCCCTCCCCCAAATCCCTCGCAACCCTCCTCGCGTTTCGCCTCCCCTCTCCCCAACCCGTCACCACCCTCGCCCGCATCTTTTCGTAACAAAAATCCTCCAAGATCCTGGAAGATTCCTAGAAGCAGAAACCCGAACAGAATTAGCACTAGAATAGGAACGCAGCGAGCGTGGGCTCCTGTTGTTCCTACACCCGAGTACGTGCACCCTAGCGAGGTGTCCCTTGACGCGGCTTTAGCATTCGAGAGGCAGCGGGTGCTTCGGCAGGAGCAGCGTAGGCGGCAGCAGCAGGTGACGGGGCCGTGCAGCCCGCTAGAAACGGCGAAGGTGATACGGATTAAGTCGTACGCGGACGTCGCGAAGCGATTAAACTTCGCGCCGACTCAGACCGTGATGCTGGTGCTGCTTCCACCTGGGTTCATCGCTAGTACGGGTCTGCTGTTTGACGGAAACTACTCGTGCACGATCCTGCGAAGCAAGAAGCCCGCGCAGAGAAGGTAGGGTGGGCTCACATCATGACTCTCATTATGTCTCTCCTGATTCATTCCATACACCAGTGCCTCCCTACCTTGTCAGCCTGTTACCCCGTTACCCGCCCCGTTACCCATCCCGCACAACCGCCCCATCATCCCATCCCGTCTCCGCGTGGCGGATACATCGAACTCACCCACGCCATGCAACCCGTGCTGCGCGTGTGCAGCATACCCTATTCCGTTACCCTGTTACCCTGATGCCGCTTCCCCATGACCCCGTTACTTTGTTAACCAGTTACCCCGTCACAGTTACATCAAAGTCACCCACGCCATGCCATTCGTGCTGCGCATCTGGAACACGCACAACGTGATCGTCATGCACGTCAATTTCTACCTGCCACTCTTTGTGCTGCCGCCATGCCTAATCCCGCACCCCAACCCCATCACCCCGTTACCATGTTACAGTTACATCAAGCTGACAAACGCACTGCAGCCCGTTTTACGCATCTGGAACACGCACAACGTGATCGTCATGGACGTCAATTTCTACCTGCCCGTCAAGTCCAGCTCGCGCCTGTGCTCCTTCACTGAGGTCGGCAAGGGCATGCTGTGCCCCGCCATCCACATCTGGCGGAGCTACGGCGTGCAGGTGGCTAAGGTTAGTCTCTTTCAAGATACTAAGTCCCGCTCTCATGTTACACTTGCATGAGAAGCCTGGAAAACTTGCGTGTAAAGTCCCGCTCGCTCATCCTTCCCTCCCCCCCCTCTCCCCCTTCTTCCTCCCTTCCCCCTTTTCCTCCCCCACAGGGCGAGGTGTTTGGGCGCATAGACGTGTTTCGCAGCATGCAAGCGCGGGTGGATGGCATGAGGGTTACCGCCACCGACCGCTTTGTCAACTCGCCGCCACACGCCCCTGCTCCCCTCCCTTTCACACACTCTCCCTTCCCCTCCACCCTCCCCTCCCCCTTCTCCCTCTCCCCTGTCCCCACCCTCCCTTCCCCACCCCCAGGGCGAGGTGTTTGGGCGCATAGACGTGTTTCGCAGTATGCAAGCGCGGGTGGATGGCATGAGCGTCACCGCCACCTACCGCTTTGTCAACTCGCCAGGGGTTATTCGCATCGGGGAGAGCGGGTACGGGCCGGAGCTGGTGCGGGCAAACATAGTGATCTCGAATAATGAAGCATACGGTGAGTGGTGGAGAGTGGTGTGCCCCCTAAGTGTAGCAAGTACGCTGTGTTGCATTGGGGAGAGCGGGTACGGGCCGGAGCTGGTGCGGTCGAACATAGTCATCTCAAACAACGAAGCATATGGTGAGAGGTGTGGACACACCCCTGTTGTGATGCACTGGGGGGCGGTGGGAGTGGCCGGGGTAAACAACTTTGTTCACGACTTAGGTTCGGGGTCATTCGGTGCGGCGCATACGTGCACTTTGCGTCTGATTTGGACGCAAAAGCATGTGGAGCGAACATGCACTCGTCCTCTCCCTCACCCCTCCCGTGCTTTCTTATCTCTCCGCCCTCGCTTTTCCTCCATCCTTCTCAGGCGTGGACACCCCTATTGTGATGCACTTGGTAGCGGTGGGAGTGACAGTGATCAACAATTTCGTGCACAGCTTTAGGTTTGCGGGTATACGGTGCGGCGCTGACGTGCACTATGCGGGCGAGGCACCTCAGAAACACGTGGGGGCGATCATGCACGCATCCTCTCTCCCGCTTCTCCTCCATCGTCCCCTCCTTCAGGCGTGGACACCCCTATTGTGATGCACTTGGGAGCCGTGGGAGTGACAGTGATAAACAACTTTGTCTACGACTTTGGCTTTGCGGGTATACGGTGCGGCATGGACGTGCACTATGCTTCTGATGTGGCACCTCAAAAGCTCAGACTTGCACGCACCTTCTTTTCCGTTTTCCTCCATCTTCCCCTCCTTCAGGCGTGGACACCCCTATTGTGATGTACTTGGGAGCGGTGGGAGTGACCGTGATCAACAATTTCGTCCATGACTTTGGCCTTGGCTCTCACACCCCCACCCACCTACCGGTCCTCATCTCTTCCCCTCCTTCAGGCGTGGACACCCCTATTGTGATGCACTGGGGTGCGGTGGGAGTGACAGTGGTCAACAACTTCATCCATGACTTTGGGTTTGCGGGCATTCGGTGCGGCGCGGATGTGCACTTTGTGGGCGACTGCATGCTGACCAACATTTCCAACAACATTGTGTACAACTGGCGAAGGAATTCATCGGGGGATGTGGATTCTGCAGGAATTTATTACTGCACGCACTGGTTCAGCCCTGGTGGGTCTGGGTGGGGATGGGAGGTGGTGGTCAGCAGACTGCATGCTGACCAATATTTCCAACAACATTGTGTACACACAAGTGGCGAAGGAATTCATCGGGGGATGTGGATTCTGCAGGGATCTACTACTGCACGCACTGTTTCAGCTCTGGTGGGTGGGAGGGTGGTATGCGGTGGTACGGCAGGGGGCAACTACGTGGCAGAGGGAGACCACTGTTACTACCTGGACTATGTCACATCAGGCGTGGTAATCCTGCTGCTCCTTACCTAACTCCCTCAACCCCCTTCATTGTATTTGCAGGGAACGTGGCAGAGTGCAACTACATAGTAGGGGGCGACCACTGCTACTGCCTGGACTATGTCACACCAGGTGCTCACTCCCTCCTATTCCCTCATACCCCTTCGTCTCTCTTCACCTCCCTTCACATTGCAGGCAACGTGGCAGAGTGCAACTACATGGCAGGGGGAGACCACTGCTACTACCTGGACTATGTGACGTCGGGCGTTCTGATCCTGCTGCTCCTGACCCAACTCCCTCAAAACCCTCCACCCCTTCTTCCCCTTCGAATCCCGTGAAACTCTTTCCAGGCAACGTTGCTGAGTGCAATTATGTGGCGGGCGGTGACCACTGCTACTATCTAGACTATGTGACGTCGGGCGTGGTGATCCGTGGGGGTGCGTGCATCAACACGTACGATGGCATCAAAGTCAACAACGGCAAGCTGTGAGTAGCGGTTGGTAGGTGTAAGAGCTGTAGGTACGGTGATGCTGTGATGCTGTTGTGTGATCCGTGGGGGTGCATGCATCAACACGTACGATGGCATCAAGGCCAACAACGGCAAGTTGTGAGTAATGATAGGTGTACTTGGTGGTATTCTCCACATTAGCATCGTGGCATTGGGTACGTGCATCAAATTAACACATACGATGGCATCAAAGTCAACAATGGCAAGCTGTGGTGTACTTGGTGGTATTCTCCTTATTAGCATCGTGGCATTGAGTACGTGCATCAAATCAACACATACGATGGCATCTAAGTCAACAACGGCAAGCTGTGAGTAATGATAGGTGTACTTGGTGGTATTCTCCTTATTAGCATCGTGGCATTGGGTACGTGCATCAAATCAACACATACAATGGCATCAAAGTCAACAACGGCAAGCTGTGAGTAATGATAGGTGTACTTGGTGGTATTCTCCTTACTAGCATCGTGGCATTGGGTACGTGCATCAAATCAACACATACGATGGCATCAAAGTCAACAACGGCAAGCTGAAAGTGCGGGTAGCTGCAAAGATTGTTTCCTGTGGTTTCATGACCCAGTGATATTGGCATGTTAGCATGGGTGTGTGCATCAACACGTACGATGTGATCAGAGTCAAGACCAGCAAGCTGTGAGTGAGAGTCAAGACCAGCAAGCTGTGAGTGAGAGTCAAGAACAGCAAGCTGTGAGTGAGAGTCAAGACCAGCAAGCTGTGAGTGAGAGTCAAGAACAGCAAGTTGTGAGTGAGAGTCAAGACCAGCAAGCTGTGAGTGAGAGTCAAGATCAACACGTACGATGTGTTCAAAGGCAAGAACGGCAAGCTGCAAGTCTTGTCAAAACATATTAATTCTGCATCAACATTGGTGTGTAGGGGGGGGGGGGTGAAAAACAACTTGCGGGAAACAGTGTCTACAAAGCAGCTCCGCTCCTCCCTCCCTACCCCGTGCTAATCCAGCAACGTGATAAAGCACATTCTCTTGAAGAACGTGGAGGGCATGCCAGGCTGGTGCACGTGCTTCACTCCCACCATCAAACATTCCGCTTCCCCCCCCCCCTCCTCCCAACCCCTCAGGAATGTGATAAAGCACGTGATTCTGAAGAACGTGGAGGGCATGCCAGGCTGGTGCACGTGCTTGACTCCCACGGTCAACAACTGTCGCAAGGGCCCCGGGACCTACTGGGAGAAGATGCGCCTCAAATACTATGACACCGAGCTGTTCCGCAAGGTGAGTGGCTTTTCTGCTCGACAAGCCACACAGCAGCATCCAATGCATGCATGCACCGTGCAAGCAAGCAGGGTATTGGGATAAAACGCGGCTCAAGTATTACAACACTGAGCTGTTTTATGAATCAAGCTGTAAGGAAAACTCCCTTTCCTTACTTCGCGCCCCTGCTTACCGCGTACATGACTATTCCCGCCACCAGCACCCCACAGTAAAACGTTACCCGCTCGCGACACTCGCCTCGACCACTGTTCCCGCCACGGTACACCTCGCAACCCAACCTCACGGTTCAGTTGGTAACCCGCGCTCCGGTCCTCCGCCTCGACATTTCCCAACCTCGGCGCTAAGCCCGTAGCGCACCCCGATTTCTCGCGTTACCGTTACCACGCTAGCTTCGCTATATATTCTTCGCTCATGCCTTCGCTCAATGTACTGTTTTGCTTCGGTAGTGCAATTCTCGCTCGCTCACTCAATTGCACTCGTAACACAAGCAAACAAACAGATCAAACAAGCAAGCAGGGTGAGTGGCTTAAGAATCATGGATTGATGAATCAAGCAAACAAACACATCAAACAAGCATGCAGGAACGAATTGCGGCAACATGCGCGTGTGTGAAGACACATCCATCAACGGTGTGGGCTGTAACCTAACCCTCTTTGTTCTCCTTCCTCTTTCTCCCTCTACCATCAACCCTTCCCTGTACCCCACCCCACCGCCCATTCCCCTCACCAGCTCTGGTCGACGTTGCCCAGGGTGTGTAAAGACACATTCATTAACTGAAGACACATTTATTAACTGAGTCAACTGTAATCCTGACCCTCTCTCTTTGTCCCCCTCCCTCTCCATACTTCTTCTCCTGCCCTCCCCTCCTCAGCTCTGGCCCTGGTGGCCCAGTGTGTGTAAAGACATGATTAACAAATTCAAACCCCAACCATTGCTGTTCGTCTCACTCCCCCACCCTCCATCATCCCCCCTCCCGGCACCCCCTTGCCCATTCCCCTCACCAGCTCTGGCCCTGGTGGCCTAGTGTGTGTAAAGACACATCTATCAACGGTGTCAGCTGCAACCCTCCTGGTGCCATGGGGGCTTACTTGACCGGCAACTGTAGCGGGCTCGGCACTGAGAATTACCTCGACCTTGTCGTGGTCAACATGACTAAAAGGGGCCTCGATTACAAATATTGCGAGAAGATTCCTGGAATGCCGAAATTCAACACGCATAAGATGATTAATATCACGACGAGCTCGCTAAAGGTGCTGAGGAAAATGGGGTTTCGGAACTACAAGCGGCACGATCTGGCGATTGAGTCGTGGTCCCCGATTTATAAATTCCGGCCGCAATTCAAGAGTTGCCGGAAGGGTCTGGCGGGTATGAAGGTTATCACCAGGGAGGAGTACAGGAATGCATTTAATATTCCGAAGCCGTACTACTTTGATTTCACTTTGGCAATGAACATGACGCACGTTCATGATAGGTTCTTTATCTAATCACTCCTGCGAGAATAAATGTACTCCTGGGATCTGCTTGCTTCTCACTTCGCTCCTTGGGACTTGCCACACAAAAATATCCTGCGAGACAGAATTTCAGGTTCCAGTCCGCACCAGTTCAGCTGATCAGCACAGGCCCTACACCGATCAGTTCTACATCTCTAGCGAAATTTCGCCGGAGTGATTGTAGTAACGGAATCCGGTTGACGGCCGAGGTCCTGAGTCTCGCCATTCGTCCAAATTGCCTCTTAGGAACACGGCAACGGTCCGGTGTGAAGGAGTGAGAGTCGGTGCTCTGGTGTTGACTCAGCTACGCGCTGGCCACGAATGGATTCTGAGCGCTGAGCTTCCGTCTTGGAGGATTCAGAGTGCCGAGGCTTCATCTTTTGGGAAAGCAGTTTCGTTGAACATTTATGAGTATGGAAGGGGGAAGGAAGCGTTTTAGATGACATAGCCTGATTCTTCGGTTCGTATACGCCTATACCGAGCAGTTCTGTCCGTAGAAGCTAATACCGAGGTTTTTGGTTCGTAGAAGCTTATACCGAGGATTCTGGTTTCCATGGGGAAGAAGGGAGGAGGCTCGGTGAAGGTCGGCAAGGGCGGCAAGGCAGCCAAGGGCCGCGGAGGAAGCGGCGGAAGAAACGGCGGAGAGGGCGGAGAGAAGAACTTCGATGCGGGGGAGGTAAGAGAGAGAAGGAGAGAGGGGAGGGGCGCAGAGAGGAATACGAGTTCGAGAGGGAAGGTTGAGGTTTGATCATAATACTTGTCAGTTAGTGTGCAATCTCCTTATATCCTCCTCATAGCCCCATCATGGCCTCCCACAGCCTCCCCATAGCGTCCTTCACATTCTGCCGGCATAGACTCACTCGTCAGTTTCTTCCCTCCCGCTTCCTCTTCCGTCCAACCCTCCTGGCCAGGCCTCCGTTTCTGCCAGCCGAGCACGGCTAGGAGGCAGGCAGTAGCATGGCAAGGGGAAGGTCAGAGGGTGTAGGAAGGAGGACGAGACGGAGAGGGAAGAATCAGGGACTTATTACAGCCTCCGCACGCAGCATCTTTAGTGTCCCCCTTGGGACAAATAGGCTACGTACCAAGTCTATCTTCCTCTTCGTTCCACCCCGCCCATCCAGGCCTTGAGCACAGAGGCAAGCAGCAAAGACGGCAAGGGAAAGAACGGGAGACGGAACGCCAAGGGGAGGAAGGGGAAGAGCCAATGTCGCATTGCTGCCTCCTCATAGCATCCTTATAGCCTCCTCTTCCTCTTCCTTCCACCCTGCCTGTCCAGGCCTTGAGCACAGAGGCAAGCAGGGAAAGAAAAGGAGAGGGCGTTCCGTGTACGGAGGAAGATGAGACGTAGAGAAGAGGGAAGAGCCAGAGTTCCGTTGCAGCCTCCTCATAGCATCCTTAGATTCTATAGTCTCTTTTCCTCTCCTTTCCTCCTGGCCCATCCAGGCCTCAGCGCAGAAACAAGCAGCAAGGACGGCAAGGGGAAGGGAAGAACGGGAGAGGGAACGCCAAGGGGAGGAAGGGGAAGAGCCAATGTCGCGTTGCTGCCTCCTCATAGCATCCTTATAGCCTCCTCTTCCTCTTCCTTCCACCCTGCCTGTCCAGGCCTTGAGCACAGAGGCAAGCAGGGAAAGAAAAGGAGAGGGCGTTCCGTGTACGGAGGAAGATGAGACGTAGAGAAGAGGGAAGAGCCAGAGTTCCGTTGCAGCCTCCTCATAGCATCCTTAGATTCTATAGTCTCTTTTCCTCTCCTTTCCTCCTGGCCCATCCAGGCCTCAGCGCAGAAACAAGCAGCAAGGACGGCAAGGGGAAGGGAAGAACGGGAGAGGGAACGCCAAGGGGAGGAAGGGGAAGAGCCAATGTCGCGTTGCTGCCTCCTCATAGCATCTTTATAGCCTCCTCTTCCTCTTCCTTCCACCCTGCCTGTCCAGGCCTCGAGCACAGAGGCAAGCAGCAAGGACGGCAAGGGAAAGAAAGGCAGAGGGAACGCCAAGGGGAGGAAGGGGAAGGAGGGGAGAGGCACGTACAAGGGCGGAGGGGGAGGCGTGTGGGAGCAGCTGAGGACGTTGGGGTTGTGCATTCGGGAAGTCAGTGCAGACGGAAACTGCTTCTTCAGGTTGTTCCTTTCCTCCTGACTTTTGAGTTGACTGAAAATAAGTCAGTGGGGACGGAAGCTGCTTCTTCAGGTAGTTCATTTTCCTCTGGCTTTTTAAGTCGACTGAAAAGTTGCCTCGTGTGGGAGCTGCTGAGGGCGTTGGGGCTGTGCAATCGGGAAGTCTGTGTGTGCAGACGGAAACTGCTTCTTCAGGTTGTTCCTCCTAGCTGCCTCAATCTCCTTCTCCGCCCCTTCCGCCTTCCTCTCCCCCCAAACTTCCAGCTGCAGCTTCTTTCCTTTACTCTCCATTCAAGTCTATATGCCTCTCTTATCTTATCTTTTTTTCCTCTATCTCTCCGCACCTTTCTTCTCGGAACCCCAGAGCAGTGTCGGATCATGTGTTTGGGAACCAGGCCAAGCACGTGGACCTCAGACATGCTTGGACAACAAGTGAATATATGCCTCTTGTATCTGTTGCTCTTCTCTCTCTCCCCAATATTGTTCTCGGTATCCCCCAGAGCAGATCGGGTCATGTGTTTGGGAACCAGGCCAAGCACGTGGACCTCAGACATGTTTGGACAACAAGTGGATATATGCCTCTTGTATCTGTTGCTCTTCTCTCTCTCCCCAATATTGTTCTCGGTATCCCCCAGAGCTGATCGGATCATGTGTTTGGGAACCAGGCCAAGCACGTGGACCTCAGACATGCTCAGGCAACAAGTGGATATGCCTCTTGTTCTCCTATCTCTCTCTCTCCCCTCCTCTACTCTTGGTACCCCCCAGAGCAGTGTCGGATCATGTGTTTGGGAACCAGGCCAAGCATGCAGAGCTCAGGCAGCAAGTGGTTGACTACATAGAGGTGAGGAGTGAAACATCTTCAGTCGACTCGAGCTGCACGTTTTGAATCACTCAATTTACACCTTTGCAGTCGAATAAGCGGAGCTCAGGCAGCAAGTGGTTGACTACATAGAGGTGAGGAGTGAAACATCTTCAGTCGACTCGAGCTGCACGTTTTGAATCACTCAATCTACACCTTTGCTGTCGAATAAGCGGAGCTCAGGCAGCGAGTGGTTGACTACATAGAGGTGAGGAGTGAAACATCTTCAGTCAACTCGAGCTGCACGTTTTGAATCAATCAATCTACACCTTTGCAGTCGAATAAGCGGAGCTCAGGCAGCAAGTGGTTGACTGCATAGAGTGAGGAGTGAAACATCTTGTGTTTAAGATCATGTCACTCGTGAAAGGAGTGACTTGCATGTTTGTAACGTTGCAGACTGGGCCGATATGTCACATTAACATATGTCCTTTCGTGTCCGTGTCGCTTGTGTTGTGATGGCCATACAATTGTCCTGTGAACGTCCTGGTTGGAGACGTTACACTGGTCAGGTCAGATTGATGGTCTTGTCACATCACCGTCCAGGATCATGTCACACCACTCGGTTACGATACGACCGTGGTGTTTCACATTTTATAATTGCATTATACAGTGCACTTTCACACAATAAGTATATATATATATATATAATGTCACATCACCTGTCACCAGGTGATGTGACAGGTGTTGTTACATCACCTGTCACACCATCTTTCTTACAACATTGTCCCTCCCTACCCCCATGCCAGGCACACGAGGCAGACTTTGCCCCGTTCGTGGAGGACGACATGGGCTAAGGAGTACTGCAATAGCATCTCCTGTCACCGTCAGGGTTAAAACCCCACCTGTTGGCACACTGTCCTCTGTCCCCCCCTCCTTACCAGACCCACGAGGTTGACTTTGCCCCGTTCGTGGAGGACGACATGGGCTTTAAGGAGTACTGCAGCAGCATGCGCGAGGACGGCACATGGGGTGGACACATGGAATTGCAGGCTGTTTCATTGCTGTTGAAAAGAAACGTTTGCATTCACCAGGTGAGTGAGATTTCTTAGCACACTGAAGGAATGAATGAATGAATGAATGAATGAATGCACTGTGTATGGTCTTTAAAGGCATGCATAAGAATCTGGATCCATTCCATGCATCAGGCGAGACCCTACCTCACATTGCACGCATCAGTTGACACGTGTCATCATTTTCCCCTCTTTTATTCTTCCGCTCCATGTCCCTCGTTTTCTCTCTGGCTCCTTGCTTTTCTCACCACTACCACTCTACGCATCAGGCGAGACTCTACCTCACATTGCATGCATCAGTTGACACTCTGACTCACATTTTTAAGTCCCCTGAATGCCTTGCGTATGTGCCCTCACTCTCCATCTCTTCAGTTGCAGCAGCCCCGGTGGAACATTGTCAACTTTGATGACGCCAGCATTCCCACCATCCACCTGTGAGCCATCACAACACCATCCACCTGTGAGCCATCACAACACCATCCACCTGTGAGCCATCACAACACCATCCACCTGTGAGCCATCACAACACCAAACCTTTCGTCAGATCAGTTCCTCACTGTCATGCTTTGAACCCTGTCATGCTTTGAACCCTGTCATGCTTTGAACCCTGTCATGCTTTGAACCCTGTCATGCTTTGAACCCTGTCATGCTTTGAACCCTGTCATGCTTTGAACCCTATCATGCTTTGAACCCTGTCATGCTTTGAACCCTGTCATGCTTTGAACCCTGTCATGCTTTGAACCCTGTCATGCTTTGAACCCTGTCATGCTTTGAACCCTGTCATGCTTTGAACCCTATCATGCTTTGAACCCTGTCATGCTTTGAACCCTGTCATGCTTTGAACCCTGTCATGCTTTGAACCCTGTCATGCTTTGAACTTTGTCATGCTTTGAACCCTTGATACTTCTTCCTTTTCTCTACTTTGAATCTTTCTTCCCCGTTGTAATCTTCCACTCCACATGCTTCGTGTCCTCTCTGGCTCCATGCTTATATAGCAGCTCTTGAAAGGGGATGTTGGGTCGCTGAAACACAACCGTAGCAACCACCTTTCCTCTCTCTCTCCCCCCTCTACTCTCCTCCACACTCCCTACCACAGCTCCTACCACGACGGGGATCACTACAACAGCGTGCAGATGGAAGGGGACGAGCTGTAGGTGGTCGCTGAGCCTCATGCAGACCAGAGTAACCACGATCTCTCTCCTCCCCCCCTTTGATTCTCCTCCCCCCCTTTGATTCTCCTCCCCTCCCCCACAGCTCCTACCACGACGGGGATCACTACAACAGCGTGCGTATGGAAGGGGACGTTGGATGTACACTAGCTCAACCAATCACCATTCAGGTTCAGGTTCACCATTAGCCCCTTGCCTCTGGCCTGCCTCTCGCCTGCCCACTCCTCAGCCATGCACCTCCATGCCTTTCTTTTTCCAATCCAGGCGCTTTATTCTAGAATGCTAGAAAACGACCTGCACCTGACCGTGCCTCTCTCACCGCTACCTCTACGCCACTGTTCTTGTGTTCAGAGTGGCGAGGTGCCTTTTGAGTCGACTCAAAAGGCACCTGACCGTGCCTCTCTCACCACTACCTCTACGCCACCCTTGTTGTGTTCAGAGTAGCAGTGGCAATTTGCAAGGGCCAAGCCTCATAAGCCGTGTTGACGTTGCTTTTGAGAATTCTCAAAAGCCGTGCCTCTTTCACCACTACCTCTACACCACCCTTGTTTTGTTCAGAGTAGCAGTGGCAGTGGCAATGGCAAGGGCCAAGCCTCACAAGCACGGTCATCTGTACCTGCAGCATCGGTCCCTGGGTCAGCAGCATCGAGTGTGGATGAAGGGGCGGTGAAGCTCGTCATCTCCTCCACAGGCTGCCATGACCGCCAGATGGTTATTCAGGTGAGAATCATTCAGGTGAGTCAATCATTCAGCTGCAGCAGCAGCAGCAGCAGCAGCATCGAAACTCTGCAGCAGCAGCAGCAGCAGCAGCATCGAGTCATGTCCTCCACTGGCTGCCATGACCGCCAGAATATTATTCAGGTGAGTTGATCCATCCTCGTCCCCCACTCCTCGGTACATTACAAGCAGGGCTCTCTGTAACTGCAGCGTCTGTCCTTGGGGTTTGAAGCATGGGTATGGATGAAGGGGCGGTGAAGCTTTTCATATCCTCCACTTGCTGCCATGGCCGCCAGAGGGTTATTCAGGTAAGATGATTTATCCCCTTCTCCTATGTCCTCCACTCCACACTCTGCCATGACCGCCAGAGGGATATTCAGGTGAGAATCAATTAGGTGTGAATCATTCAGGTGATTTGTTGCCTCCTCCTCTTCCCGCCCTCTTGTGTGTAGCTTGCAGAGTAATTCAGGCTGTGGCTGCCATGTCCTCCAGAGAATGTTCTGCCTGTTTACCATCCCTTCTCTCCCCTCACCCCACGTGGCAGACCTTGGATGACCTGTCAGGTGACGTGGATGCAGCCATAGAGTACCTCATTGCTGTCCTGGCCAATGAGACGACGCGTTGCGATGCAGAGCATGCAGCACCTCTCTCCTCATCCTCGATTCCTCCAGGTCCTGTGCTAGCAGAAACACCAGCAACTGCACCAGTGGCATCACCATCTGAAACAGCATCACCACCTGATACAGCCACACCTTTTACAAGCAAACCGCCTGCAACGCCGGAGGCAGCAGCGCTTCCAGGCACAGCTGTTCCCAGTGATGAGTGCAACGAGCATCAGCAAACGGCCTCAGCTGCAGCACATGAAGCAGCAGCAGCGACACCAGCAACGGAAGGTGATGCTGCTGCAGTTGGAAGCCGCTGCGACAACATGCAGGCGTGTGCTGCTGCTGCGCCTGCTGATTCTCCTGCTGCTGATGCATCTGGGATTGGCGTTCCTGCTGGCTCAGTTTCTTCAGTTTCTTCTACAACTGTTAAGTCATATGCGTCAAGGCCGGTAAGTCAGCCTTTATTCTTTGTTATTTCTTGCAATATGCTCAGTTGATGCAGCAGGCACTCATGAGTTACCGTTTTGTGTGTTTTTATTCTGTCTGATATGAACAAACCTGTCATCAGGTTCAAGGCCGGAATAAGGCATGCCCGTGTGGCTCGAAAAAGAAGTTCAAGGCATGTTGTGGCACTGTGAAGGCTACTGAGAAGAGCATAGGAGATTCTGATCTTTCTAAAATGAGCATTAAAGAGGGGAAACACCATGTTGCAAAAATCAAGGGTTCTGAAGAAGCTGGGCGGCAAACTAAAGGTTGTGGAAGCTCTAGTGGGGATCTACAGGAGGGAAACTCACATATGGACCTTGGCTCTTTGTGCATCTGATTATGATTATACAGTGTAACGGGTCGTCAATGAATGTAGTGTACTCGCGTGAGGAGTTGACGTTCGCGAAAGGTTTCCATCCTTGTCGGCAAAGAACTCTGCACGACGACACGGCTTCGTGCATTCCACCCACCACAACCGTTGGTGCTGACAGCGCAGTCGCATCCCGTCGCAATACCCCTCCCCAAGATCGCACCGTCTCGATAAACGGGCAAAAGATACCGACGACGACACTTTGATTTCGGCACCCACCCATGAACTGCGGTCGCAAACAGAACTGAGTGACAAGCCCAAATGCTCCCGCTCGCGCGCTTCGCCGGTGCGTCATCGCGACTCGCCAATGTTTCCAAGAAATTCGACATTTCGCTCTTCGGAAATTCGTTTCTCCTCCTTCCAATCTTCCCTCTCCCCATCTGCTCCTCTTTGCGCCCTTCAGATATAGCTGTTGTTGAGACCACCACCACACTGACCCCTCGAATTCGGCACACCACAATCGACCACTCACAAACCGGTTTGGCAACCGCAGCAACACACCGGCATCGGAATCTAGTATTCGGTAGTTGACATAAGAGTAATGAAGACGAAAAACGGCACTTGGTTTTAGTATAAAGCTCATCCTCCTCCTCTTTGTTCGATCTGAGTACTGCATTCCGAAAATTCCAAGGCTGTGGCTGACGAGCGAGGGCCTGCTGGACAGTGCGGGTAGACGTAGAACCGCCTTCTTATCAGCTAATCTCGACGCTGACGAGTTAGGACCAGCAATCGCACTTACCCGATAAGTCCGGCAATCTCTCCAGCGATTCATAATCCGAGTACCGAGAATCAAGGGTCGTCGAGAAAGGGTCGCGGAAAAGGGTATTCGATTACGGACGCGCGCTCCGCGTTGATATTCACTTCACATGGCGCCTTCCCGGATACGACCCGCACTTGGCGTAGCGCTGCTCGCGCTATGCGCCGCGCTCTCCGCGCTCTCTGCGCAAGCAAGTGCGTGTCTCCCCTTTGGCAAACCCAAGCTTTGCATCGGTAGCCGCAAGCGTGCCTCTATCGGTGTGTCACCTCGCTTCGTCATACGCGTGTGCTGCATGTCTCTTGCTTTGCCTCCGCTGTGCCGCGAATGCCGCGGTTTCTGTCGTATTTTTCCCCGTAGTCTTTCTGCCGTGTGGAAACTTACTCGCCGTGAACACTTCTAGATTCTTCCTATGGAGGATCGCGCACGTTGTCTCGAGCAACTCGAAACATGGCGGATATTAAACTTGTGGAGGATGACGAGGAAGAGGAAAGTACTGACCTAGAGGGTGACGAGGATTGGTTCAAACGTAAGGCCAGATTCACAGCTCTAACCTCCTATTTCCGATCCCTCTTCCTTCTCGCCCTCTATCCCTTCCTTCTCCTCTCCTGTTCTTGCCGTTCCCCCTTCTACTCCGGCCTCCCCGCCTCTCCTTTCCCCTCCCCTCTATCTCCTTCGTCGCCCCTCCTTGTTTCCCTCTTCCCCTCTCCCCCCCCGGCTCGCCTGACCTTGTTTCCGCCTGTGCAGAGGGATCGCACCCCAAGGGGTCCTGCACCCCCGTTAAAAGCAACGTCACTATCCCGATAAAAACTGCCGCCGATTTTCAGAAGCGGAAACAGCAGGGCCGCAACCAAACCGTCGTGCTTATGCTGCAGAACAGCCTGCTGCTCAGTCAAGGAAGCGGGTTGCTCTTTGACGCGGATTTCTCCTGCACTATTTTAACCGCCGCGAAACCCAACCTGTATATCAAATATAACGACGACGATATGCCGACGCTTCGCATATGGAACACGAGCAACGTGCTTGTATACGGTATCAATTTCCTCGTTGCAGTCACGACTGGTTCGCCTCAATGCCCGAACGTACCCGAGGTGGGTACGGGGGTTAACTGTCCCGCCGTACACATCTCCCGGTCGTACGGTGTCATCTTCGGCAAGTCTACAGTGTTCGGACGCGTTGACGTACACAGGAGTATGAATTCGCGAGTCGACAGCATCAAGGTTACCGGCACCCCGACTTTCGCCAGTTCGCACGGGGTCATTCGCGTGGCGTACAGCGGACACAGCACGAAGCTTATCAAGGCGAACATCGCTATATCCAATAACGAGGCGTATGGTAAGTGCACATTCCTTCCCTTCACGGAATGCCTTCCCTCTCGCAATCCTCGCCTAGTTTTTGTGATCCTTACTTCGTATTCCTCTTATCAATCTTCCTATTGCTCTCCACGCCTTCTTTGTCTCTCCTGCTGACGAACCTTTTGCTCCTCCCCCGCCCGTCCCCGTTACACGCGTGCAGGTGTTGACACGCCGATCGTCTTATATCGAGGCGCTGTGGGAGTGAAAGTGTTTCGAAACTACGTGCACGATTTCATCTTCGCGGGGATCCGGTGCGGCGCGGACGTGCATTTCTCGGGCGACTGTATGATGACGAACGTTTCCAACAACCTTGTAGTTGCTAAAGGGCGCAACACTAACGGGGATCACGACGCGGCGGGGATTTACTACTGCACGCACTGGTTCAACCCGGGGAACGTGGCGCAGTGTAACTACGTCTTTAATGGCGATCATTGCTACTATTTGGACTATGACACGTCGGACGTGCGCATCCGCGGCGGCGCGTGTATTAACACGTACGACGGGATTAAAGTCAACAACGGCAAAAGGTAAGCTCAATGATGCACCCTTCGATTCATAAGAGGCGCCTCAAGGAAGGGTAGTTTCGAGTACTAATGACAATTCTTAAACAATATGACACAAACGCTAGGAATCTTCTCTGTGTGGTGGAAAAGCGTGTGTCAAGAGAGAGCGTGGATCCTGTCTCTTATCCAGACTCCTTCCGTCCCAACCCTTTCCCAATCCCCCGCCTTCTCCCCTCCCCCTCGCTACAGGAACGTGATCAAGGACGTTGTAATGAAGGGACAGATCGGCGCAGTGGGGTGGTGCACGTGCCTTACTCTTCACTCTTCCCCCACACTTCCCCCCCTTTCTCCCCTCTCCTCCGTTACAGGAACGTCATCAAGGACGTTGTGATGAAGGGACAGATCGGTGCAGTGGGGTGGTGCACGTGCCTCACGCCCACCGTCAACAACTGCCTCAAAGACCCAGGGCTTTATTGGGAGAACATGAGGAAAGCTTACTACGACACCCCGGCATTCAGAAAGGTGAGAAGGAAGACGAGGAAAAAGGCGATTGTTGTGTGGTGGAAGGAGAGTGCTTTTTGAAATAATACAAAAAATCGCTCATTGGAAGAACGTGTGTCAGGAGAGTGCTCCTGCTTGGAATGCCAATCATTCTCAAACCCCTCCCTTCATCTCCTCCTTCCCTTCTTCCTTCCCCTCTCGCTCGCCCCCTCGCCCCACCAGTTCTGGCAGTGATGAACGTGTGTCAGGAGAGAGCAGTCAGCGGCCAGAGCTGCAACTCCCCACCCTTTTCCTCACTTCACGCCCCCTATCCCCGTCCTCTCCTCCTCCTCTCCCCTTCACCAGTACTGGCCGTGGTGGAAGAACGTGTGTCAGGAGAGCGCAGTCAGCACAGTCGACAGCCAGAGCCCTAGCCTTGTCCTCATTCCCCTCCCTCCAATTCCCTCTCTCTCTCTCTCTCACTCCCCCACCAGTACTGGCCGTGGTGGAAGAACGTGTGTCAGGAGAGCGCAGTCAATGCATTCAATGGGCTGAACTGCCACCTCATCCTCTTTCCCCTCCCTCCGCTCCTCTCTCTCTTTCTTCCCCCTTCACCAGTACTGGCCGTGGTGGAAGAACGTGTGTCAGGAGAGCGCAGTCAATGCAGTCAATGGGCTGAACTGCCACCTCATCCTCTTTCCCCTCCCTCCGCTCCTCTCTCTCTCTCTCTTCCCACTTCACCAGTACTGGCCGTGGTGGAAGAACGGTGTGTCAGGAGAGCGCAGTCAATGCAGTCAATGGGCTGAACTGCCACCTCATCCTCTTTCCCCTCCCTCCGCTCCTCTCTCTCTTTCTTCCTCCTTCACCAGTACTGGCCGTGGTGGAAGAACGTGTGTCAGGAGAGCGCAGTCAATGGGCATAACTGCAACCCCCCGGGCGGCATGACCGCCGCCCAAACTGGCAAATGCAGCGGCCTGGCCACGGAGAACCAGCTGGATTTGATCCTCGTTAACACGACTCGAGAGAGCCTCGAGTATAAATACTGTGAAACCCTGCCTGCGATGCACAAACTGAACCAGCATTCCCATGTGAAGGTGGGCTCGGTTCCTTCCGCTGGGTTCCGGAATTACAAGCGGAATGATCTGGGTTTGAGGCTCTGGTCGGATATCCGGCTCAAGCGGCCGAATGTTTTGAGCTGCCCGAGACGGGCAACGGGGCCGCAGAAGAAGATTAACGCGGCGTGGTACCTGAGGAGGTTCAACATTGGGAAGCCAAAGGGGTTTGATGAGGTGCTGACGATGACAACACTGCACCTCATGGACCAATCAAAGATTCCCAAGTAGGCAGGATAGTTCACAGTAGGAGGGTGGTGGAGCAAGGGGAGACGGAAAAGGAGGGAGGAGGAGGACATTTGAGGGGAAGGGTGTCAAGGAGATGGGGGGGGGGGGGAGGGGGGGATGGGAGGAGACTAACAATGATCATGGAAGGGCGCGCTGTTGCTTTGACATTCCAGACTCAGTATACAGCAGCAGTGAGTGGTTAGTGGTGGCGCGCTGTTGCTTTGACATTCCAGACTCAGTATACAGCAGCAGTGAGTGGTTAGTGGTGGCGCGCTGTTGCTTTGACATTCCAGACTCAGTATACAGCAGCAGTGAGTGGTTAGTGGTTGCAGGAGACAGTGCAGCAACAGGAATGAGGGGATGCAACGAGCAGCAATCCCACTCCTATACACTATGTAGCAGTGACTTGATACAGCACACAGGAGCATCCTGTGTGCTGGCTTGTAGGACATTTAATAGAGTAGTTACCGAACAGCTGTAGTTTGAGAGGTGGATAGGAGCTAGGGGAGTAGAGACTGTTATGTAGGATAGCTAGGTGATACAAGTGTGGCCTTGTTCAGCCACTAGTTTACTTGTGCATAATATAGAATACTATTTATTAGTATTAGACTCCATTGGAGCAACCAAGAGCTTCCTTGTAGCATTGTAATGGCTTTCAACGTTGACACATACAATTGCATAATAAGATCTGACACAAGTACGGACTGTACACGAGGCGATTCACTTGTCTCATCAATAGTGGGGAAGTACTGACCTGACGAACCTACCGCAGCTAATCCCACTCCACCCATCTCTTCCAAAACAACAGCCGCATAAACACCTTCCAGAAACCCACCTACATCGTACTATTTCTGTTACGAGTGCAATTGAGTGATCGAGCGAGGATTGCACTTTCGAAGCAAGAGTACAATGAGCGAAGGCATGAGCGAAGAATACATAGCGAAACTACAGTGGTAACGGTAATGGACTGTGGTTGTCGCGCGACGTGCCTAGGACCGAGGTTTGGGAAAATGTCGAAGCGGAGGCCCGGAGCGGGGGTTACCCGCCAAGCCGTGACGTCGGGGTGCGACGTGCGAAGGTGGCGGGAGGATTGTCGATGCGAGGGTTTGCGAGTGGTAACGGTGCTGACTGTGGTGCTACAGTGGTGTACGCTCTGAGCGGGGACGCGAAGTAAGGAAAAGGAATTTTCCTTACACTACCCCCCCCCTCCCCCCCTAAGGAGGTCCTCCTTACGAAAGTGCGTGTACATCCCTGAAGTTTCGGCTGCGCAGATACTCTGTGAGGACGGGGTGGTTTTCGACTCTGTCCAGGGGAACCCAGTTGTCTTCGGTGGGTGTACGGTCTTTCCAGCGGATCAGGAACTCCATCCTTCGGGCTCCTCGAGGGTCGCGAACTCTGTGGCTCAGAATTTTATCCGGTGTGATGATTGGCTCAGTCGGCGGTCGTGTCATGCTGGCTGGGCGATTACGTGGCAGTTGGCTTGTGGACGGGATGTAAGGGCGAAGCAGGCTGACGTGGAATGAGGGGCTGACGTACCAGTCAGCGGGGAGGAGGAGGTGGGCGGTGACGGGCGTAATTATGTGGCATATGCGAAATGGCCCGCAATATAGGGGGCGGAGTTTTGGGGTGATGGGCAGGCGGAGGTTCTGAGTGTCGAGTAAAACTAGGTCGTCAGGTTGGTGACAAGTCGGCGGTGGCGGTCGGTGTTACGTTTAGTGATGATGTTTGTTTTCTTTTATTGCGTCTGCTGCCCGGGTCCGTGCTGCTTGTAAAATTTCGGCGAACTGTAGTGCTCGTGGCACCGGGTTGTCGGGATTCGGGGTCATCGGTACTGTCGGGTCTTGTCTGTAGTTCAGGTAAAACGGTGACTGTTGGGTCATGGCAGATGGTGAGTTGTTGTATGCGAACTCAATGAGTGGCAGCTGTTGTTCCCAGGTGGTTGGGTCGTCGCACGTGGCTCGAATGAGTTGCTCCGTAGTCTGGTTTGTCCGTTCTGTCTGTCCGTCGGTTTCGGGGTGGTACGAAGAACTGAACTGTAGTCGCGTGCCGAACTGCTGCCACAGGTTTCGCCAGAAGTTGCTGGTGAATTTCGTGTCGCGGTCGCTGATGGTATCCCGTGCAGTCGAACGACGGTGGAGATGAAGAGTCGAGCTGTTTCTTCGGCTGTGATCGATTTTTTGCAGGCTGCGAAGTGTGCCATTTTCGTCAGGTGATCGAGGACGACAAGGATCGTATCGTTCCCACTCGCCCCAGCCAGTAACCCCGTGACAAAGTCCATCGTCACCTGCTGCCAAGCACGCTCTGGGGGTGGTATCGGCTGCAACTGTCCTGCCGGCCGCTGCCGTGATGATTTCATGAGCTGGCAAGTGGGACACGATGCCACGTGTCGTTGTACGTCGGTCAATATCTCGGGCCAGTAATAATACCGCTGCAGCTGCTGCCGTGTTTTCTCTACCCCAAAATGCCCCGAGGTAACTCCGTCGTGTGCCTCCTGTAACTATAATACCCGTAGCAGTGTATACCCGGGCATCCAGATGCGGTCGGTCCCGACTTTTACGTAAAAGACTCCCCTTGCTGCTGCGAACTGCTGCAAATTTCCTCTTGTGTATAATGGATCCGTTTGGTACCCGTGGGTAAATAGGCCTGTCAGTAGGGGGCTGGTCTGGGCGAGTAATATTGCATGGATCTGGGTAGTGGGGCAGGTCAGTGCGTCGGCGATGTTCGAGGCTCCCTTTTTGTAGGTGATCGTGTAGTGAAAATTTGACTCGAGAAAATCAAGCCAGCGAATCTGTCGTGGGTTGAGGTGTGGCTGTGCAAGGAGGTACTGTAGTGATTTATGGTATGTCCTGTCAGAATGTTATGCTCTAGCCTGTAGTGGGGTGCTCTATAGCGAGTACAACCCTTCTAGGGTTTGCCATTTGTATCCTCATTCTTGCTAGTGCAGCCCTCTTCTCTCTTTTAACTTTGACATGCTATCAGAGCAGGTCGATCCTCTTGGATCGATCCTGTGGGTGGGCCCACCACCTCGTTGCTTCCGCTGCAACTGCTACTGCTACTCTCTGTGCCGCACGCCCCGTGGCGTGCGGCAGTTTTTCTTCCCGCCGTGCGCCCCGAGGCGCGCGACGGTTTTCTGCCTGCCGTGCGCCTCGAGGCGCGCGGCGGTTCTCTGCCCGCTGTGCGCCCCGAGGCGCGCGGCGGGCTTCTGCCTTGTCGCTCCGGCGCGTCGCCCTCGGGAGGCGCTGCGACGGGCGACGGGGACCCGCGTGCCGACCCGCGCGCCGCTGCCCCGGCCTGTCGATGCCCGTGCGCCGCCCGTCCCGGCCCCGCGCAGCTGTCCCGGCCCCACGCCGCCCGTAGCGCCGCCCGTCCCGGCCCCGCGCAGCTGCCCCGGCCCGTCGCCGCCCGTGCGCCGCCCCTCCCGGCCCCGCGCCGCTGTCCAGGCCCGTCGCCGCCCGTGCGGTGCCCGTCCCGGCCCCATGCCGCTGTCCCGGCCCCACGCCGCCCGTGCGCCGCCCGTCCCGGCCCCGGCCCCGCCTGCGCCCCGGCCCCGGCCCCGCCTGCGGCCCCCTTTTCCCGTCGCCCGTCGCGGCTCCCTCGGGGTGGGGGAGGGGGGGCGAGCGCCGCCCCTTCTGCTACCTGTCTTGGCGCCCTGGGAGGCCGCGAGTTGTTCCCCCCCCCCCCCCCTCCCCCCCCCCCCCTCCCCCGTAACCTCCCTACCCGCCTTCCCGCCCTGCCTGTGTTAGGGTTTGGGGAGTGGCGAGTAGGGGGTGGCGAGTATGGGGGTGGCACTTCTGCATTCCTCCCTTTGCCCCTCCTCCTCCTTTGTCTCCCACTGCTGCAGCTGTCGCTGAGGGGGGTGGATGTGTGGGAGATTGGGGTTTAGGGTTTAAGGAGGGTGCGTGGGAGTGGAGCTAGCGGTGTAGCAGCGGGTGTGTGCCAGGGAGAGTGGGATAGTTTGGGGAGGCTGAAAGGAGGCTGTCGTCTTGTCGTCCGCAGCACCTGTAGTCCGGGGCGCTGTCCTGGTAGCCCAGAGAGCCTGCTGCGCCTGTCGCCCGTGGGTCCGTTGCTCCTGTAGCTCTTCGTAGCCCGTGAGCCAGTTACTCCAGTAGTCCGGGGCGCTGTCCCGGTAGCCACTGTGCCAGCCGCTCCTGTTGCCCGTGTGCCTGTAGCTTCAGCCGTCGTCTCCCATCTTCTCTCCTCTCACAGTCCCTCCTCCTCCTCCTCGCTTGCCTCCTGTGACTACCACTAGCTTTGCTCATAATTGTGAACTTTAAACTATTGCTTCTTGAACTTGTGCTCAGAATGTGTGGTGACATTGTGATCCACCCTGAGCTTGTTCTACTTTGCTTGCTCTCCTGATTACACCCCACTTTGGCTATGGGGGTGTGTCAGAATGTTATGCTCTAGCCTGTAGTGGGGTGCTCTATAGCGAGTACAACCCTTCTAGGGTTTGCCATTTGTATCCTCATTCTTGCTAGTGCAGCCCTCTTCTCTCTTTTAACTTTGACATGTCCGTACTGTGACGTCTGCGCCGGTCAAGTAACAACACCACACTTTGAACGCCGTGCACGATCGCAAGCAT